TCCTTGAAAGGTCTGTCTTCTCTATCAAGCACCACCTACAAAGCATGAGAGCCCAAAAGGGATTCAAGGGCAGCATCTGATTTAAACAGGTAGTGATCAGCCTCTATCACTGCAGCACTCAACCAAGACACAATAAATCCCTCTTCCAAATCTGCAGAAGAAAAGCAGCAGTCTTAATTTGCCCATTTGTGGAAAAAAAGTAGGTGTGATGTGGGCAAAGGCAACAACAAAAGCCAAGCCAGGGATCTGCCCCATGCTGGGGCATCTGAAAGGAGCTTTCTGCCCCACTCAGCTGTGAGAGCTGAAATCTGTGCCAGGCACCACCAGCCTCTCAAGTGCCTCTTCCTTTCCTTGGCAGTTTCATTTTTAAGAAATGCCTTTTGGAAAATGCCTGTGGAGTAGAGATTTCAAAGGCTGGCTTAAAAACACTTCTAGGCATATAATGCTGACCAGATTCTCCCCACACACACACAAAAGGTTGGACTGGAAGATCTTACAGGTCTTTTCCAACCTGAATGATTCTGTGATTCTATAAAATGTCTCCAGCATCATAATTAGAACAGTACTAAACAAACCCACTTCCCTCAGGAATTATACACTGCAATTTTCAGAAACAAAGATCTCCCAATGTTGGCAGTGACTTTAGGTGAGAATTGACTTCTCCTCCCCTTTTCAGATTTTCCCAGGCTTTAAAATTTCAGTTCCAATATAAGTCCCAAAATCTGAACTTTTCCAAAATTCAGAAGAACACATGGTGTTTATCTGCTGGCCTGATGCCATGTTTTCCTAAAGTCTTCAGCAAAAATCACATTTTTATTCTCATCTTAATTAGGTGGGCCCTAAGTCTCCATGGAAACAGGGATGAGGGCACTTGCCATGTGCCTAAAGATACAGGGAACATGTATGAAATAAGTCTTCTCAACTCATCACAAGAAATAGATATTTGTGCTAATCTGGAGGGGGGAAGGGAAAGAAGGATAGTTGGCCAAGCTTCACAAATAATATGGAAAAAATCCAGGGACTTGGGGTTCTGGAATTGGCAATATGAAACTTCCCATCCTGGCAATCTGTCAATTAACACAGTTCCATCCAAAGAGCTGCCCCTCCCCACCAGGCTTTGGGGCTGCCCCTGGGCACAGGGCACCCCCCCCCACCAACCACAGCACCCCAGAAACAAGATCTTTGCACATCCAGGTTTGCTTTGCTACAACAAGTCACGAATCAGCTTTTCCCTTTAAAAAAAGCTCCTCAGGAACTTTGGCAATTCTACATCTGACTTGGAGACACATAAAATTACTGGACCACCTCTTGTGAAATGAAATCTAATTAAATATTTAGCTTCACAGTGGAGGTGGAGATCCAAGAACTTAGCTTCAGGTCTCTAAATGTCCTCTTCTTTTCAAATCCAATGATTTCAGAAGTGACATTATGTTCCTAAAAATGTGTTTGGCATGAAATAAACAGATCCTGACACTAAGAAATTTCCAAAGAGGCACGGGAACCTCCCTGTGCCATATCTTTGCCTGTATTACCTTGCAGCTCACAACACTGTGCTTGCATGGACTTTTGACCCAAAATGCAAATACAGCCTGAGGGAAGATCAAATTTTCTTTTTATCATTCCTCATTTTTCCTTCCAATTGTTAATGCAGGTTTTAGATTACTTTTCAAATTCTGCCAGTTGGTCCAAAGGAGAGAGCACATTCTCCTTTGAGCTCATCTCTGCCCACAGACCCATTCAGTAAAAAACTAACTCTTATCATTAGAAACAGTCCAGCAGAACTTGGTTAATCTTTGTGCTCCACAGGTAAAATCCCCAATGACAAGATTTCTGTGTTACATCAAATATACTTCTCTGTATTAAAAAATCAAGTCGTTTGGACACAAGATAAATGTCTTAGAAAAATATCATTCTATAAATGCTAATATGGTAGCCTTTGGCTCATCACTAGCTCCCAAACTCTGACCTTCTCACAGAAACAGGAAGATCTTATTAAAGGTCCAGGCAAATATTTGAAGAAAAAACATTTTGGTGTTCAGAGATACAAAAGATGAAAGTCTTATTTAAGAGCTTCTGCACATTGCTTTGAAAAAATAAAGGAATGGGCAAAGTAGGAAACTAAGGTAGAGCATGACTCCAGGCTTAAAAACAGAATAAGGGGAAGAAAAAGCAGAGAAGTGCTCCTAATCTTATAGCTGAGTGTTGTTGTTACTCACCATCTACCTTTTCAAAGTGTTAAAAGCTTCTTTCCTTTAGGAAAGCAATTTGTGAAAAGTGATTTATTAGAAAAATTATAATAGGCTTTCGGAAGTGGAAAAATTATTGGATCCTTAACTATCAGCAGGA